TTCACATGGCAAAAATAGCAATGCGCTTAAGTATTTACCCAGGGGTGTCGCTAGCCTTTACAATCTCAGGGCATCAACTAAAAAAATTTTGCTGATATAAAAAAAATTTGAGTCTAAAGAATTACAAATGATAAGAAAGATTAATTAATACATATGCCTCAATTGAAAATGGTTTTTAAAAACCACATAATGCAATAATAAAATTCTTAGCAACTTACATTGACAAAAGGTTGTCAAACTAATATAATTCTCTGTTACCATTTTATACAATGTTTTATAGAATAGACTAATAATAAAAAATTTATAGGCCCTAAACGAAATCAACAATTTTTGAAGAAGGTGGCTTCAGTAGGGGGGAAGCGCAGGGGCTCGAGCCCCCCTAAAAAAATTTGAATAGCCCCCTGAAGCAAAAAATTTTAATTGCTCCTTAATATCCACTTGAACTAAAAAGAAATTTTTTAATTGCCCCCTGAACGATTTCTTTTATAATATTAAGTAATATATAGATTTAATTTTATTATTTAAATATTAATAAGACTGTCTAAATTTTTAATGAATATTATTATAATTATTAGATTAGATTAATACATATAAATTATATTTTCACTATGTCAGCTTACAATCAAATTCTGTGTTAAAAATATATCAATATCACTCACTAAATATTAATTTAGCATCAACCGTTGAAGCTTAATTGACTTTTATTATTTAAATTATTATATAACCCTAATTAAATAAATATTATCATTTATTACTTGAAAATTAACAAATTTAATATTGTAACTAGCCGAGTTCAAAATCACTAATCAACTATATTATTGATTTTTAAATTTAATTATCATGAGGTCCAATTATGGCTATTACTGCAAATTAACCAGAATCTATTATTTGTAGTTTTATGATTTGGAGTCGTATATACTCTCTTCTTCAAGAATTGTTGATTTGGTATAGGTCTATTAATTTTTCCTTATTAGTCCATTGATAATAGAGAGTTATATTAGTTTCATGACCTTTTGTCAATGTAACTTGCTAAGAACTATATAGCCTTATGTGGTTTTTCCATCAATTGAGACATATGTATGAATTAATTAACATTTTTTATCCTTTGCAATTCTTTAGGCAATTTTTTTTTATATGAGCAATTGAAAATATTTTACACTGTAATAATTAGATTTTGTATTAAAAAATATTATTTTTAGAAATGTCTTGATTTGTTTTAATTATTTATATGCTAGATTATTTTGTACAAAATATAATAAATGACAAAATATGGAATTCAAAATAGTTGTTTAAAGTTAGCAAGTTTTAAAAAAAAATTAGATATTAGTATAAAACCCTGCCGAAAGCCGGGCAAAAGAGGGCCGAAGACCCGCAAAATTGGGGGTATGGGGGCGAAGCCCCCATAATTTTTTTTTAGTTGAGCCCTCTGAAGTAAAGGCTAGCGATGCCCCTGGAAGAGAGTATACGACCAATCCAAATCATAAAACTATATGGTGGTTAGAGCTTTCTTTTTTATGACATGATGAAAACTCAATGTGAAAGCTAGATAAGTAATCGAGAAAATTATTGTGAGATATTAAATTTCTAAAAGATTATCTTCAATTTTAAATGATAAACGATTACACAGTTGACCATTATTGCTTAACTAAAATATGCAATCATATGCTCTCAGCCGTTGTAGTAATAATCTTAAATTACATAGCAACACAAATAATAGATTCTGGTTAATTTGCAGTAATAGCCATGACACTCACGATGAAAACTAGTATCAGAATTTATTATGTTGAATAAATTGATAAAATAAAAACACTAAAAATCTTTGGAAGAAATAATTGTGCAAATATATTGAAGCCTGGAGTTATTTACACGGCAATGCCATATTAGAAATGAAACATTTTCTAGTTATAAAATAAGGGCCAGAATGATATGATGAAACAATTAAGATTTTATATACTAATAGAAAGCCCGTCAAAAATGACTGGGAATGAGATTTTTATTTGCGATAGATGTCATGCCAGGTCCAAGCTCACAATATTAGGAAGAATATAATTATAAAAAAGTTTATCAAGCCCAGCTCAACCCTTAATAATTTGTAAAAGATATTCCCATGTCAGGTGCAAGTTAATATTAATTTTGAGGTTCCAAACCCAGTCGTATCCAATATAATTTTGAAAATTTTTCCCACCTCGGAGATAGTTAAATTTTTAATTGATTTATCATCACATGAAGGGGAAATATCTAATTCTAATTAGTTTAAGATGTAAAAAAACATGTCAATTCCCCATTAATGGAAACTGGGAAGGCCTGGGCAAACCACCTATTAAAGAATCATGACAAATAAAATAAAAATAACCGACTCTTATACTTTTAGGTAATATGATCAATAAAAATTATATATAAAAAAATTGTTGTTTATTATATAGGGTTATTGTAGCTTTTCGGATAAATTAAATGTATGTCTTGCATTTCCTAAATTATTTGTCTATATTTTTATGTTAAGTAAAAAAAAAGCTATCTATTTAAATTACAAAAATGCCATTAAACACTAATGAAACTTATATGCAAATTATTTATATATTTTTTATTGACATATAAATTTAGGCTAAATTTTTTAAAAAATAATGAGGAATAATTATTATGTTGTGTATTTGATAAAATTAAGAGCAAATCCTTGTTGACATTTTTATTTTAGATGGAAAAAGCGACAAAATAAATCTGGGAGGTCGTCTGGAGAGGAAATAATTAATGTACAATTTCATATCATTTAGGGTTGTAGATGAAAGTAATGACGGGTAACCAAAGCAGTGTACAAAACACATTACGTCCTGATAAAGATGAGGCATATGCCTATACCTTGGGATACTGGTAAAAGAAGAACGCAAAATGATATTTCTGTCAATGTCAGCATTGGTAGCCCCCTCTAAAATAGAATCATGAACGACAATGTTAACTCAACCATAAGGTAGCAAGAATTGTTATAAAGGCCACGACAGAACTACTGCATATTTTTCCAATAATAAATTGATGAAAATGGCCGTACTGCACATTCAAGTTTAAACATTCCTCTAAATATTCATGAAAGTTTCTCAGAGAATCGGATAAAGTAATATTTATAATAACTTCTAGTAAAGTGAATGATAGTATGGAATTGAATGCTTATATTTGTTAAAAAATAGGTAGAGGTGGCATAGGGATTGTGGTAGTGGTAATAGAATTATCATTTGGAGGCAACTGGGTGAAAATAAAATAAACATATAAATATAAAACATATGATAAAAAAAACAAAATAAACCTCCTGAGGAGTTAATTTCAACGTAGTTTTTTATTATTTTGGCTACAAGTAACTCTAGAACGGACAAGGCGTTTGTTATTCTTCATTATTTTCTTTGCTTATCTTTAATAGATTCATCATGTTTTGTAATAATGTGAGGGATTAAGGTTGGGTTAGCCTAGACAAATAAAGAAATCAGGCAAAAATACAAATAAACTATTGTTGAAATTAAACATACATGAAAATAATGTAAACCAGATGGGTCAATATTAACCAAGCCCAGAGATATTAAATTTATAATTAATGAAGGGAAATCTCTGATTTACCAATTAGTTTATGGGTAAAATATATTTATTTATAAAAATATTGACATATGACTATCATTTAACATCAAAAATCCCAATCTAGGTTCAAACCCACAATATTTGGAAAAAATTTCCAAGCATCCAAGATCTTAATAATTTAAAAAGATTTTCTCAAGCCCATTTCAATCCCTAATAATTTTGAAAATCAAGCCAATATTAATTTTGATAAATATTTCAAGCCCAGTCCAACCCATAATAATTTTAAAAAAATTTTCCCAAGCCTAGAGATATTAAATTTATAATTAATAAATGAGAAAAAAGCCTGGGCAAACCATTTATTAGAGAATCATGACAAAATAAGGTCTGCCCTAATATTATTATAGGAAATAAAAAATACTACCTCGTATTATTGGAGATAACTCCAAAAAATAAGTTATGGAGAAAAAAATCTTTGAAGTACAAGTTAAATTGAATTTCTATATAAATAATTAATAATTTGTAATATTTTGTAAATAGATATATTTAATGTATATTATCATAAGATTAACATTTAACATTAAAAATCCCAATCAATATTAATAATTTGTAATATTTTGTAAATAATGTATCACTTTTTCCAAGCATCCAAGATATTAATAATTTAAAAAGATTTTCTCAAGCCCACCTCACAAGTAAATTGAATTTCTATATAAAATATTAATAATTTGTAATATTTAGTAAATAATGTATTACTTTGACAATTGGTTTTAATATGGCCTCCTACAGTTGCAAAAAAAATTAAGTTATGGGATCATCTGTTTGTATAAAATATATCAATAAAATCAACAAATAAAAAAAAGAATACTTACCCTGTCAAATAAATACGTCTATAAATGTGGCATTTTATCTAATATTTTATAAACAACTGTATATAGTAGACGATTATAAACTATATGTCTAATTACTTTTTATAAAGAAATCTCTTATACTAATTTTGACCTTGTAAATATTTTTAGGAATAGGTATGATAATAAAATTTAAAAATAAATATACAGTTGATTAGTCATTTTGAACTCGGCTAATTACAATATTAAATTTGTTAATTTTCAATTAAATAAGGAACGCCTTTATTTAACTGCAATAAATGGTGTCATATAAAGTTATTTTATTTTTTTATTCAACACGCTTGTTTTTTTTTCTTTAACAAATAAATATTAAAAAAAGTTGTTTATTATTTTTTTTAATAAATTTTTTTTTACGTATTTTTTTTATCTAATGGAAAAATGGTAATTTTAAAATTGATGCTTTTATTATTTAATATATTTTTATTTAATAGGAATTAAGATATAATTTAGAACTAAAAGATTTTTATTAATTTTTATAAAATATTTCACAGTTAGCAAATTTTGAAAATGATATTATAATATACATGTATTTTAAAAAAAGATTTTTCCCAAGCTAATCAAAATATGACTGAAACGATTAACCTACCAGCTTCCAATACAGAAAACACTCAACTATATGATATCACTAAAAATTAAATGTTTATTGTTATTAAAATACATTAGCAATCAAATTATATTCATCTCAAATTATTTCAAAAAATATGTTAGGCACTCAAGTTAAGATACCAGAGAGTAAACATTTTACTTTTCTATATTTAATATAACAAAAAAATAGCAACAAACTTATATAACCAATATCATTTTCAAAATATACCTAAAAATTTAGGCCCTCAGTCAAAAACTATTCCAGCTAGTATATTTTGTGTTATAATTTTTATTATATATAAAATAAAAATAGCATTCGAATTCTCTTCATCTCAAAATATTTCAAAAAATATCTTAGGTACTCAAATTAAGCTACCAAATAGTAAACATTTTTCCTTTATTTTATATAACAAAAATTATAGCAACCAAAACTTTAGACTACACTGGATATTCTCTTGAAAATCTTTCAAAATTTTTTTAGGAAACCATAAATAAAACAAATAGTTATTATATATTTAGAATGTTTATGTTAAATTTAAAAATATATAGGAACCAAATACAATCTAATAGATGTTCCAGAAAATACAATCAAGATTTCAAAAACCTAATAAAAAGCAATTTATAATTTATATTGTATTCTATTATATCAAATTTTATTTCTGTATATATATTTACAATTATACTATATTATTGTATTTTACAATACATAATTTTAATTTTATATATATAGAATTATAATATATTATTGTATTCTTACAAATTTTTTTCTATATATTTCTAAAATATAGAATAAAAAATATAAAATAGATTCTTGTGTTATAAATAACAAACATTCAATATTTTTGACAAAAAAAACAATAAAAATAATTCTTTATGTTAAATTATATTGTTTAGATATATTCATAGGAGGATTCATAGAATAGTTTTTTGCAATGCCTGATCACCATTAAAAATAATATAAAAATTCCACAATATAATAAATATTAAAATAAAGTAAATTTTTAGGTTAGAATGATTTAAACAAAGTATAAAACAGGTTGTGAAAATCCTATGAATAGAAATAATAGGGGTAACATAATTAGCAAAGTTATAAAATTAAGAATTATTTGAAACAATTTATTGAAGAGATCAAAATTTGAAGCCTTTCCTGGATTTTAATTCAATGGCATAAGAATAAGCTGTAGACATTGATGTTCATGTTTTTCACAAGTCCCTTGCAATTTATTTTAGTATCTTTCAGCCAATTTATTTTTATGTTATGTAAAAAAATAATAGCATATTTGGGATTTGATTGACAAATCTGTCACCATGTCTTAATAAGCTAACAAAAATATTTTACTTTTATATATAAAATATCAAAGTGAAAAAATTTTATTTAGTAAATTTTGATATTACATTCACCTTACATGATTAAAATAAAAAATTGTATTTATAAATCTTAGAACATTAAGCTTAGGCCATGCATCTATATAAATATGAAAAGCATAACAAGTCTGGTTTACCAGGATATATAGGTTGTTTTACTTTATTAACATTAATTTTTTTAAATTTATTAAACGAATATTATGACAAAATTGCATGAAGGTTAATTTATATAATGAAATATTACATTTTTAATAGTATCAAAAGATTATAATAAAAACCTAATTCATGATTAAATAAGACATTCAATTAATCCCATTAATTGGCCCTATTGTTTGGGAATATTGTTAAATTCCTCAACATCTATAAAAAAATTTTAACAATTATTAGATTAATAACTTTTCATGAATATTTCTAAGATATGCATGTGCTACAATATTTAAAAAATTTCAATCTGGGTTATAAATTGTGGTCCATACTATTGGAATATGTTTTAAATATAATAATTTGAAAAGGTATTCTTATAATTACTCACAAACTGTTTTAAAGTAGAAAAATCTTTTAGTTCTAAATTATATCTTAATTCCTATTAAATAAAAATATATTAAATAATAAAAGCATCAATTTTAAAATTACCATTTTTTCCATTAGATAAAAAAAATACGTAAAAAAAAATTTATTAAAAAAAATAATAAACAACTTTTTTTAATATTTATTTGTTAAAGAAAAAAAAACAAGCGTGTTGAATAAAAAAATAAAATAACTTTATATGACACCATTTATTGCTGATAAATAAAGGCGTTCAATAAGATATGATTATATTTATTTAATAAGGGTTATATAATAATTTATAATAAAAATCAATTAAACTTCAACTGTTAAAGCTAAATTAATATTTAGTGAGTTATTGATATTATATTTTTAATACAGAATTTTATTGCAAGCTGACATAGTGAAAATATAATGTATTAATCTAATCTAATTATTAAAATAGTAAATAAAAATCTAAATAGTCCTTTTAATTTCTAAATAATAAAATATAATTTATATATTACTTAATGAAATTATAAAAGAAATCATTCATGGGGCAATCAAAAAAATTTATTTTTAGTTCAAGGAGATATTAAGGAGCCACTAAAAAAAAATTTTTGCTTCAGGGGGCTATTCAAATTTTTTAGGGGGCTCGAGCCCCTTCGCATCCCCTTAGTGACGCTACTATGTTTACCCCATAATGTAGACCCATAACCTTTGCTTAAGATTTGACACACCAAGTGTTCTGTGACAGATCTCAATTAGTGTTGTTAAACGGCTCGTTTTGAACCGATTTTTAAAAACGGCTAACTCAATATTTTAGCCAGAAAAATATTGCCGAAGCCTCAAGATTTTTGTTGTAGAAGGAACAAAGGTTTGGACATCTATTAGCGAAATTTCGAGGCCTGGGCAATATTTTTCTGGCTAAAATATCGAGTTAGCCGTTTTTAAAAATCGGCTCAAAACGAGCCGTTTAACAACACTAATCTCAATCGTAATATTTTCATAAAACCTCTACATATTCAAAAATATTTCGAATATGATCAAGTGCTAGGGTGTAACTAAACTGAGAATTAAGTGGTAAACTGAGAATTAACAGGTAAAATTTATTTATGGCCTATCAATTATATTTTAAAAACTTTAAAAAAAAGGTTTTTATTATAAAAATCAAATTTATACAAAATTAAAATTATCTAAATATATAAATTAGAATAGAAAAGATATTTTAGTTTATAAATTTATAATATGTATAACAGATCTATTATATAGAAAATAAAACACCTATAATATTTTATATTTCATAAGATAATTTCCGCTAGATGGCGTAAATTATTAAATATTTAGTTTTTAATTAAAAATAAAATGAATTATAGGAGGATAATTCTTCGCTCTGGATTAATTGATTTGGTACCAACTTATATAAACATAAAATGAAAAATTTTTTAAGTTTCCATCAATATTTTTGGAGTTATGATGTGGATTCTCAGTTAGTCAATTTTTTAATTTTTTTTTAGATTTTTGGGATTTTAAAAATATTTTATTTTTTTGACTCATTTGGTGTAAACTAACTTATAACATAAAATGAAAAATTTTTTAAGTTTACATCATTATTTTTGGAGTTATGATGTGGATTCTCAGTTTAGTCAATTTTTTAATTTTTTTTTAGATTTTTGGGATTTTAAAAATATTTTATTTTTTTGACTCATTTGGTGTAAACTAACTTATATTTTAACATAAAATGAAAAAATTTTAAGTTTCCATCATTATTTTTGGAGTTATGATGTGGATTCTCAGTTTAGTCAATTTTTTAATTTTTTTTTAGATTTTTGGGATTTTAAAAATATTTTTTTTTTGACTCATTTGGTGTAAACTAACTTATATTAACATAAAATGAATAATTTTTTAAGTTTCCATCATTATTTTTGGAGTTGTAGATTCTCAGTTTAGTCAATTTTTTATTTTTTTTTTTAGATTTTTGGGATTTTAAAAATATTTTATTTTTTTGACTCATTTGGTGTAAACTAACTTATATTAACAAATGAAAAAATTTTAAGTTTCCATCATTATTTTTGGAGTTATGATGTGGATTCTCAGTTTAGTCAATTTTTAAATTTTTTTTAGATTTTTGGGATTTTAAAAATATTTTATTTTTTTGACTCATTTAGTGTAAACTAACTTATATTAACATAAAATTAAAAATTTTTTAAGTTTCCATCATTATTTTTGGAGTTATGATGTGGATTCTCAGTTTAGTCAATTTTTTAATTTTTTTTTAGATTTTTGGGATTTTAAAAATATTTTATTTTTTTGACTCATTTGGTGTAAACTAACTTATATTTTAACATAAAATGAAAAAATTTTAAGTTTCCATCATTATTTTTGGAGTTATGATGTGGATTCTCAGTTTAGTCAATTTTTTAATTTTTTTTTAGATTTTTGGGATTTTAAAAATATTTTATTTTTTTGACACATTTGGTGTAAACTAACTTATATTAACATAAAATGAAAAATTTTTAAGTTTACATCATTATTTTTTGAGTTATGATGTGGATTCTCAGTTTAGTCAATTTTTTAATTTTTTTTTAGATTTTTGGGATTTTAAAAATATTTTATTTTTTTGACTCATTTGGTGTAAACTAACTTATATTAACATAAAATGAAAAAATTTTAAGTTTCCATCATTATTTTTGGAGTTATGATGTGGATTCTCAGTTTAGTCAATTTTTTAATTTTTTTTTAGATTTTTGGGATTTTAAAAATATTTTATTTTTTTGACACATTTGGTGTAAACTAACTTATATTAACATAAAATGAAAAAATTTTAAGTTTACATCATTATTTTTTGAGTTATGATGTGGATTCTCAGTTTAGTCAATTTTTTAATTTTTCTTTAGATTTTTGGGATTTTAAAAATATTTTATTTTTTTGACTCATTTGATGTAAACTAACTTATATTAACACAAAATGAAAAAATTTTAAGTTTCCATCATTATTTTTGGAGTTATGATGTGGATTCTCAGTTTAGTCAATTTTTTAATTTTTTTTTAGATTTTTGGGATTTTAAAAATATTTTATTTTTTTCACTCATTTGGTGTAAACTAACTTATATTAACAAATGAAAAAATTTTAAGTTTCCATCATTATTTTTGGAGTTATGATGTGGATTCTCAGTTTAGTCAATTTTTAAATTTTTTTTAGATTTTTGGGATTTTAAAAATATTTTATTTTTTTGACTCATTTAGTGTAAACTAACTTATATTAACATAAAATTAAAAATTGTTTCCATCATTATTTTTGGAGTTATGATGTGGATTCTCAGTTTAGTCAATTTTTTAATTTTTTTTTAGATTTTTGGGATTTTAAAAATATTTTATTTTTTTGACTCATTTGGTGTAAACTAACTTATATTTTAACATAAAATGAAAAAATTTTAAGTTTCCATCATTATTTTTGGAGTTATGATGTGGATTCTCAGTTTAGTCAATTTTTTAATTTTTTTTTAGATTTTTGGGATTTTAAAAATATTTTATTTTTTTGACACATTTGGTGTAAACTAACTTATATTAACATAAAATGAAAA